CAGCGTAAGGACGTCCATCGGTATAAATATTTTCGAGGACACGTGCTTCCGGAAAATGAAATGAAAAATATGAATTTGAAAATTCTCGAATAACATTTAACATCGCTCTACGCGAATATTCTCGATTCCGTGAGAACGTAATTAAACGAAATACAAACTAAATAAATTCCACTCCCGACTCTACTCTCAACTGCTCGATACGAAATCGATACGTCGTGCAGAACGGTAGCCGAAATGACGGATTCCTGGCGTTAGTTAGGTCTCGAATAGTGATTTTTCAATTCCTTTTTATCAGATCAACGGATTACAGAAATTTTGGAATTTAAAAAAATAAATGGCTTATCTGAAAGTTAACCAGAAGCAATATCCCACGATATGGGACAATATACGAGAAGTATCAGAGCGCAAAAATTGCAGTATTAACGGGACACGTTGAAATTCAAAGCGAAAATCGATACGTATCCCCACGGTGAAATAGCGTGAATCAGATGTCCGTTATTCTTGCACGATTTTGATATCTCAACAGTGACTAGACACATTCTTCTTCTGTTCGCTCGAAGTCATTGAACTGTTGCCTGATAGAAGCCTTCGCTGGTCACGGTAAAATTGATGAGTGCTTTCGGGGGGGGGGGGGGGGGAACGTAAAAAAGGAAAGTAGAGAGAAAGGAGCGGAAAAAGTTAAATGAAAAGAGGCCTGCACTGTGACATCTGGATACGCGAGACCATCTTTGAAAATGAACATTTAAACATTTATTATTCTTTCAAAAACGATGTCACGTTTCAGATATTCATATTAGATGCTCGTGAATCTAGATGAATATTCTAATTCGTGGAATAACTCGTTTAAAACAATGCATATTTTTAAAGTTGGTACATTTAAATGACACTTTTGTTGGTTAAGTTTTGTTTAATTTAAATCATACTAGATTAAGTGCAAGTTGGATTATTGTAATATTCCATCACCTGTAATGGATATTTTTGTTAGTATGACACAATTCTTTTTTGGTTTAATTATAACTTGATTAATATAATTGTAACTCGATTAAATATACAGAGTGTCCCAAGAAAACGCATATACAGTTTAATACCTTATTCTTTCTAGTTTATTTTTCCCTTTCTAGGTACAACAAATTTAAAATAAATTTGAATTAATTTATTAATGAATAAATTTAAAATAAATTTAAATAAAATTGTCTGATTTTAGATTAGACTTTGAAAAACGTAAGTATATTTTAAAGTGCTACAACCATAATCTGTAATCCATCTAAATATATACTGTTTTTATAATCACGCAAACTGTGTATACATTTTTCTGGGACACCCTGTGTATAAGTATAAATAATTAAATATATATAATTATAACTTATTTCGTAAACCTTGTTATAACCCTTTTGATGATTTTCACGCTTTTCGAATTAAGTGTTTGTTATTTTTCTTCGAATTTATGAGTGTTGTTTTATATATCTTTTACCAGCTTTTTCCAACACTGTAAAACAGAACGGTGCGAAAAATTTGCATAATCTGTGAAATATAATCGCGTTGAAATTATTTATTATAAATCAAAATCGTCGGTATATTATTTAACAAGCTTCTTTCTTTTATGTCAAATTAAATAATCACTATTTTATACTAAAAATATCGATGTTAGTTTTTAGCAAACTATTGTCTCTTGTGAATATTTGAACTTTTGCAGGACTATCGCCATCAGGATAACATACATTTATTTTATTTCTAATTTTTATTTTATTTTTTATTTTCTTCGGTATCTGATTTTGAAAAATTTTTAATCACATAAACTTCTGGGAACTTGGAGATGTAGACGTATTCCGGAAGACCAAACCCATCCCCCTGTTTATTACGAACGATATTCGTTCCACGTCGATTCTTTATTTTACGAGGCAAAAATTGTGCATTCCTCGCGACTGGAATTTCAAACGATTTAATAGCCGTGGTATGTTTTAGTAAAGTTTGCCCTCTCTCCTTCCGCTTTGGCGACAATTTCGCTCGCACATAATTACTCGCGCAGCCATTATAAATGCACAGTGCCGAGGAAACATTCGCGTGCTAATCACAAAGTAGGTCGAACTGAATCCCCAGGATAGCTGAACGCTCGCTGCTTATATACGGCGCGATTTGCCCGCGATATGAATAATTTATCGGCATCAGATATCGGATAATAGTCTCTAAAATTGACACAGCTTTGGAAGCAGCGTTTAGCGACTATTTGACACGTCTCGGCGTAACCCGCTTCTTATCGTTTCATCCTGTAAAATGTGCCCGCGATTATGCTGCTGCAAGTTTCGTTGCATCGGAGATTCTGTTGATGAAAGGGCCGGCAAAGGATGCGCGTCGCGATCGGATGTTAATAAGGAATTATGCCGTTGCTTCCTGTCAGTTACGGCGTTCTTATGAGTTTTCACCCTGTTATGCGATAAACTCGTCCAGGCTAAACGAGATTTTTATTGAAAACGGATGTTATAATGGGAAATATATTTCATTCCTTTAACAGCTCACTTTGGTCTTTGAAGTAGCTTGCACTTGAGTAATAACTTGTGTATTTGTAGTTATTTGTGGCAAATATTTGGAAAAATTCGTAGCTATTTGTGGAAAATATTTGGAAAAAATTGTAGCTATTTGTGGCAATTATTTGGAAAAATTCGTAGCTATTTGTGGCAAATATTTGGAAAAATTCGAAATCACGCATCTTGAAATGTTGCACTTCGGACCAGTCATTCTGTCAATAACACAAGTTATTCCACTTGTGACATAAATTAATCTAATAAATATAAGAACATTTGAAGATCTGAAAGACGATGCAAAGCAACCTTGTTTCGTGAAAATTGTGGAATTCTTGTGAGATTGTACATCACTTTAACAGCTCACTCTGGTCCTCTTTGGAATAGTTTGCACTTGAATAATAACTCGTATATTCGTAGCTATTTGTGGCAAATATTTAGAAAAATTTGAAGCTATTTGTGGCAAATATTTGAAAAAATTCGTAGCTATTTATGACAAATATTTGGAAAAATTCGAAATCACGCATCTTGAAATGTTGCACTTCGGACCAGTCATTCCGTCAATAACACAAGTTATTCCACTTGTGACATAAATTAATCTAATAAATATAAGAACATTTGAAGATCTGAAAGACGATGCAAAGCAACCTTGTTCCGTGGCAATTGTGGGATTCTTGCGAGATTGTGCATTACTTTAGGTCGTTCTAAATTGCTCTGGGTTACTCTGGGTTGCTGTGAGCTCGGGCAGAGTAAATTATAAGATATTATAAGCGCTAGATTGATTACGAGTAGAAATTTGCTTCACAGTTTCGAAGCGACTCACTCTGACCGATGGGAATGCATCCGAAGGATTAAAAGGAGACGCACACCCCGAAGTCAGAGAGTTTTAAACAGAATTTGAAGAAGTTTTAAAGCAGTTTTAAACCAGTTGGAGAAACTTATCGATCACTTTAACGTAATATTCCTTCTGTACGACGGTATAGCAGATTTTTATACTCACGTTGAAATATGTAGTTCAAAGAAATCCATCAATTTGTGATGAAAATTAAAATCAACGTAAAAATACTTTTAATAATAACATATTAATAATAAAATTTGTCATATCAATATATTATCCCTTTTAATATGCTAATATTTATTTTAATTACAGTGTATATGGTACATTAATATTTACGTTAATAATAATACTATCGAGATATTAAAATTCTGTTAATAATAATTCCTTCAATGCATTAATATTTATTAAAAATCCGCGATTCGTGACAACGTCGCCATCTAGTTAGGCAAATAATAATCAGGATAAGTAGATGTAATGAGTCAGACCGTCTGCAACATGTGAAAGACCTCACGTATTTACGAGTATTAACACGTTGACTGCTATGGTGGTCATCAGTAACTGACGCTTGTCTTTTCAGTGAGACCATGGTGGCCACTGGTGTCCGGCGATATTAATTTTTTAAATTTATATTTATTTTATTCCAACCAATTTTTCAATATTTCACCAACGTAAATAAATAGAGGACTTTGAATAGAAAATATTAATAATTTGCACCATTTTTTTTTTATTTGCCATATTATTTAACAATTCATCATTATTATGATTATTATTTTGCTATATTATTTATTAATTCATCATAATTAGGAATAATGGAAATTTTATCGTGTACTATGCCTGAGTGTGCTATAAAGTAGTACTATTTTTATCGTGTACTATGACTGAGTGTACTGCAAGGCAGTCAAAGTATTAAAAATCTATTTCAACCATAACTACAGAAAATACGCTATTAAAAGAACGAATTTTAACAGTGAGTGTATCTCGCGAATATTACCTTCACCGATATTTATTAATAATAAACAATTATTCAAAATAAACTGTACTGTACAAACGTGTAAATAATTTATTACATATATCCAATGATTCCTTAAAATTTATTTTAATAATATTTTTAATACGTTAATAAGTTGCACACAATATTCCATTTAACCCTTTGCACTCGAGTGGTGCCTCTCAGTCACCACTTAATCAAATTCTAAAGATGGATATTGATTAATACATCAAATTTATAATTACCCAACGATGGGTGGAATACCGAAGTAAAATAATTCTACGTTTTAATTTGCATACGATTTCTTATTTACCGTGTTAGAAATATCGTCGAATTTATGGCAGAAAGTCTTCAGAAGGAATTACTATTTTCCTGTAACGAAAAAATCGTTGAGTGCAAAGGGTTAATATACATATATACTACATTTACCTCGTCCATTGGTCAAATTTCTCATTTCCTCTGATCCTTCGTTTCAGCAACCCAGTTATAAACAAACGATTATACCCATTCCAACTGCGCAGGTAAACCTGTCACGCATGAGTACACAAGCACTGTCGCGTCTGTTATGTTTGCTCCTGCGACGACATAGCGAGCGACGTTGTGTGTCCGTTTCTTAATCTGCCTAATAGTTCGAACGACCTTTGTTTACAGAGGCACGCGCTAGAATTAACGGCACGTCGGATATATATGTAAACAGCGGCAGTCTTCTCACGCTCACCTGCTTGATGTCTCAAGGACCCCACGACCTAGGAACAGTAGCTTGGTTTCGTGGTAACCAGCCAGTGATGACGTCTCCTCATTCGGAGAACGACGTGAACGGAGAACCTCGCATCACCGTTGAAACCGAGTGGAGCGACGCTCTCACGTCGAGGTAAGTCTGTTTTATCCGTAATTTCCGCTATTACTGCAACGATAATCGTTGTGTTACCCTTAATACGAGAAAATGATAAATATGTCTCGTTTTTGAATTATTTTTCATTCGAGATGACTCATATCCGTTATATCGTATATATTAGTGATGGATGAAATTTTAATAACGATAAGAACAATTGTTTATTTAATTACAAAGGTTATCAAACACTAATATTAAGTTTAAATATAATTAATTTATCACGTGCTCACACGTCTTCTCACGTCTTCTCAAATCAGTATTGACAGCTCAAGGGATTGTACACGGAAGGAATAATGGATTTGATTGTCCACGGTGTAATAAGTCCACTTTCTCTCCCTCACAATTTGCAGATAGATTACACTTACGAGTACAATTACACGGTTTCGTGTAACGATAAGAAAGTACAAGACTATTGGGATCAAAACGGGATAAAGAAGCAGTAATAATGATGTAGGGCATAGAATTAATTAATTTATTTTTCGGAGAATTAATTTCAGGATTATTTTTAAGAATTGATTTAAGGATTAATTATTTACTAGTTTTTAAAGAATGAATTATCTAGTAACTTTTTAAGAATTAAGTTTGTCAGTAGTGGATGAAATTTAATAACAATAAGAACAATTATTTATTTAATTAGAAATATTATCAAACACAAATATTAGGTTGAAATATAATTAATTTTTCTCAATCCCATACTCACACCTGTTTTCACTATTATGACTCAATTGCAACTGACCTATGCCAAATCACTTTCATTTCTTTTTCTTTCTTCTTTCATACATTACATTGACATACACAATTCACACACACCTCAATCGTTACATGCATACTAATTTATCACAATAACCTGAATTCATTAGATATTTCCATCCCATTCATACTTGTTCCACTCATCCCAACACATACATATTTAAAAATCTGTGTAACCATTACCACAGTATATCCCGCGTGAACGATTTTATTTTTGAGAATCTTCACTGTCATTACTCGCATGTAATATACATTTAGGTGTAATAAACAAGTATTCAGTCTAGACTGAAAATTATTACGGACCTCATAAAATTAATTCGTCCACGTAATTTCATTTCGCTGTAAATGGTTTAATATTGAAATTTTAATCTGCAGTCGAGTAGAATTTTGATAGAATTTTTAATAGTAATTTTAATAATCATTGTAGAATTTTAATGCAGTGTCGAATTAACCTTTTCATCGACGTCGTAAATAAGGAACTCGTATCGAGCATAGAGAAGCAATGAAATTTGCTCATGTGCACCGAGTAGAAGGTTAAATTTGAGTGCAAGGAAAAGGCAAGGTTTCGCGTGTCCCTTTTGTTTCTGACAGTGAGAATTTACGCAACGAAGTGCCATTGAAAATATTTTCTTTGACGGGCTTGAATAATGGAAAAATCGATGTGTACGCGTATAACTTGCAGTGATATCACGTACGCTTACAACGGACAAAAGATTTTGACACAATAGCGAGGGAAATGATTCGATAATAAAAGAGGTTTTTGAATTAGTCGAAATTTTTGCTAACGGCAGGAAAGTTTTTTCAACGAAGGAAGTTTCGTTTGCAAAAAGAGACCTTTTTTTCACGAATTGCAAACGTCACTGCCAGAAGTTGCCATTCCAATTAAAAGTTCATAGGAAATTGTACGCGTATGTGTGCTTGGAAAACGTGTAAAAAAATCCTTTCTACTTTTGTACGAGCATTTCGTTTCTTAACGAACGAACTTAGAAAGAACATATCGGATAAAAATCTGCGTAGAAACGTATCGTTAGCTACGAGCGTTTATACAATAAATACTCTATGAGAGTTGTGTGTCAAGCTTCGCGACGAAACTGATGCAAAAGGGAAGAAAAGAAAAATTTCTAGCACGAAAAATGCGTTATTCAATTTCGAATTTTAAATCAGTATCGTTGTTGACACTTGTCAATTGCTATCGTGTGTGCACGATTTAACCCTTTGCGCAGTTACTTTTCTGTACAGGATTTAAAGATATATGAATATTAACCCTTTGCACTCGAGGGGCGACACTCGGTCCCCATTTAATCAAATTCTAAAGATCGTTATTAATTAATATCTCGAATTTAAAATTGCCCAACGACGTATAGAATATCGAGCTAAAATAATTCTGTCTTAAAATTCACTTCTTATTTACCGTTTTGAAAATATCGTCGACTTTATGGCAGAAAGTCTTTAAATTGCTATTTTTCTGTAAAGAAAAGATCGCCAAGTGCAAAGGGTTAAAACGCGCAGAATTTTGTCGAAACTGATTTGTGTTTAATACTACTTATAGTACGTAAATATATGTAGGAATTGTTAGGTGGCAGCCAAACTCGAAACCGCTATTTTCTATTTTCGAGGAACGGCCCAAGTGTTCCCACGTGCTTTACAGTCATACCTGGACAAAAGGGCATTGTCACAGACGGTGATCTTATGCCCTAATCACGCCACGCTCATCATTCCTACATATACAAAATTTTTAATTTCTCTAATTTTCTGTAGTTTTCTGTATTTTTCGACTTGCGAATGTCTCTAAAGGGTTAACCCTTTGCACTCGGCGATTTTTTGGTAACAGAAAAATAACAATTTAAGGACTTTCTGGCATAAAGTCTAGGATATTTTTTGTTATGGTAAAATTCAATAGTAAGCAAACTCTACATTCCAGCGGTGTGAGGGCGATCCCTTTCCCCAATGTTCTATCCTTTGTCTCATCAGTCTTTTGTCACCAGTCTCCTGAAGACGACTTTTGACCTGCGAGGCCCTCAACAGTTCTGTTTTGATCATTCGCTCGTCGAATAAAGATTTACACAGTTTCTCTACAGTTCTTTCACAGTTTACTATTCCTTGCGTAATAACCCCTTTAACATTTTTAAAACGGTAAATAAAAAATCGTATAGAAATTAAAGCGTAGAGTTATTTTTCTTCGACATTCCACGCGTCGTATCGTAATTTTAAATTCGATATATTAATTAACATCGATCTTTACAATTCGATTATATAACGACTGAGGGTCGCCTCTAATATTAGTATAAATACTCGACATCAGTCGTTAGTTTCGAAATTAGGACGGCATACGTAATACTAACGCTAAAACGAATTACTATCCTGATTCCGAACTCAACAAAATTAGTTATTGATCATCATATTACCAGGTTCGGTGTATAAACCAAGTATACAGCAGGTATCTGAAAACTGGAACAAAACAACCATATTCGCTACGCCGTTGCAAATCCCCATACATACACGTAGAATCACTTATCAAACAAGATATTGTTCGATACACCACTACATTAAACAGGAAACTAATCACTTACACGAGGAACAGGTATATTCACTGTGTCCTCGTATCCGTTTCCGGAAACTAAAATCCTTAATTAACATATTGCCCTATTAAACGCATAAATTATGAGCACACTCATACGTACGCGTAATTCCCAAATGCAGTGGAAAATGATTATATTCATCACGCGCAATTCAATTTCTTTCATTGTATCCATAGTCACGTTGTATCGGGAACTAAAATCGTTAATTTACACTTTATCCGATTAAACGAATAAATTACAAGCGTACAGATAGGTACATACGAATTCTCGAAATGAAAATGAAACATTCGCCGTGCAGAGTTTAATCTCTAGTTTTGTTTGGATTTCCACTAATTTCACGCAGCTCGGTTGCCGAGTGGAGATAAAAAATAAATTTCCCCGTGGCATGAAAGCACGAGTTCGAAGTTGAGTAGGAAAGTTTCTTTATGCTTGGATTCTTAAAACGAACAGTGAGAAAAGATTTTCCTAATTGTCCCACTTTTATTTACCTTGTACATTCGTCTTTAGACTCTGAAAAATGATTAAAACCCGTTTCTAAATTTTGGACACGTTTTTAAAATTTCATTCGCAACCTTTTTATTAAAGTAATACGAGTAAGATTTAATTAGAATGTATACTGATACATCATTTAGTGAGAATTAAAATGTTCATTATGTCAGATGCCTGTCATACGTCTCTATTATGCACAGCTACGCGGATGTTTATTGTTTAGATACTAAACGCTTTAATACTGAAGTCATCAGCCTAAAATGTGTACTTAAATTAAACAGTGAATTATAGCGGTAATTAGAGTGATGCGATATGTATATTCAGCGTGTATATGTTAGCTTTGTCCGCCTGAATATCTCTACTAATTTAGGCAATATGCGAAGATGTTGCAAAAGGCGTAAGATTTTGAAGAATTATGTAAATAATATGACATAAATTACATTTAAAATGTGCATATACAGGGTGATTCATTTATTAGTGTATTGAAAGGTATTGTCATTACTCAAAACCTCGGTAGTAGTCGTGTGTCCTTATCCTATACTTTCACGAATGTGTCACGGGACTAGTTTGCAAGGGCGAAAAATACAGGAAGCTACAGAAAATTAGAGAAATTAAAAATTTTGTATATTTACGTATTATAAGTAGTATTAAACACAAATCAGTTTCGACAAATTTTGTGCGTTTTAGTATCCATATATGTAGAAATGTTGAGCGTGGCGTGGTTAGGGCATAAGATTGTCACGGGACCAGTTTGCAACGACGAAAAATAAAAATAACTAGCCTCTATATGAGATACTACCGCAAGAGAAGTGACACGTATTTAAAATTTGAGAAGAACTGACTTTATTTAGGTTTTGGGATATATATATATGTGGTAAAGGATCGGATTTATGGAGATCGAACTTTAAACTTTGATTTTATTTTATTCTCTTGCAGTATAAATGCGTGGAGACTTAAGTCTTGTGAGATGCGTGATGGTGAATTGTCGAAAGAGCGTTCCCTCGAACCCTTCAGCCAGGTTCTTATAGGCCCTATGACGACCCATTGCGTCACTCAGTTCTGCTTCGAAAATTGATAATCTTTCTGGTTCCTCGAAGCAGAGTGACGCCATCCAAATAAAGACTCCTCTCACATATATATTCTTGCTATCTTATGCTAGAT